CCCCAAAACCCCAAAACCCCAAAACCCCTAATAATTTAGGCTAAATTGAACTCAATCATGGATATTACAACACTGAATTTTGATGAGGAAAAGGAAGAAATCAAAAATGTGATTAAGTCCTGAGATTTCATAGCAATGGATACTGAGTTCACAGGCCTTGATATAGGAGAAAAAGCCAAGAGAAATGAAACTGATAGTTCAAAGAAGTTATATAAGAAGCATAAGTTTGTATGTGAAAGATTCCAAGCCATCCAAATCGGTCTGTGCATCTTCATCTGGGACAAAGAGTCCAAAGGGTATGTGAGCTATCCATATAATTTCTATGTGCTTCCAACTTCGCAGCTAGAGGATCAAAGCACCCCTATGAAATTCGACGCTGAGACTTGTGGATTCCTTCAGAAATATAAGTTCAATTGGGACTTGCTATTTAAATATGGAATTTCTTATAAGCAAAAATCAAAGAGAGATGAGATAAGTGAAAAATTAGGTTATGCAGTCCGTGATGGATTTGTCTCGGCAAGATCAGGTAGCTTCATGTCTAAAAGAGGAGCTAAAGCATTGAAAAAGTATTGTTCAGATGTACATGATTTCTGCTTTGATACTAATAGAACAGAACTGAGGATCAAAGAACCAAGTGTTTTAATCCAGAAAGAGCTACGAAAGAAGATCTTCAGACAATTAAACTCAAAAGGATGCTTAGATATCTCCAAAAATTCAGAGAATCCAGATGAACTTGTGATTTCAAAGAACTCGAATTTCAAGCCTGATAACTTCTGCTGTATAAATTCAGATGACTCAGAGGAAGATACAGCCACTAGTAATGTTCAGAACACTGAATTATACGATCAGGCTGAAAAAGCCCAGAAGAAGATGAATAGAATAAAGCAGAAAGAGACTGCAGAGAAGGAGCGAACCCTTTTCTGTAAGGAATATGGCTTCACTGAAATCATTGAAACTATGACTGAATCTAAGAAACCTATTATTGGTCATAATTGCTTCTTTGATATGGTGTATCTATTCAGGCAATTTATAGCCCCTCTTCCTGACAACTTTGTTGAATTCAAAACCCAATGGAGGAAAGAATTCCCAGAGACCTATGACACTAAGCATCTTAGCCATGCTTTGGGTGCCTTTTCAGAGTCTGGGCTTGGAAGAGTATACCAAGAGTGTGCTAATTTACCGAAGTTCAAAAATATCTTGAGGATCAAAATTCAGGATCGCTTCGAACGCTATAAGACAGAAACAAAGTGTCATGAAGCAGGATATGATGCCTATATGACAGGATTCGCCTTCGCTGTTATGTGAAAATACAGAGAGATTCAGGCAGAATTTGACCTTGAGAAAACTGAACTAGGAGGCATTGATCTGGATATCAATGCTGAAAATACTGATGATGGTGAAGGAGACGAGAAACTTCGAACAAGCATAATAAAGCAAAGAAGAAATGAACCAATCAATACAAAATTTTTAGAACCTTATAATCTTAAGGTGGCCAAGTTCCAAAGTGGCAGTAAAGTTTACTATCTTGGTGAAGGAGAGATAAAAGACGATAAAGGTATTAAATCATCAAAGAAAAAGAAAGAACAAGCAGAGAGTAAAAGCAACAAAGTATGGATAGAATTAGGAAAAAATGCTTCATTCGATAAACTAAAAACCCACCTTGACCAAACCAAAGACATCCAAATCAAAGGGAAAACCGCCTCCGGAGTCTGCGTCCAAATCAAACACATCCCTTCCGGCCACTGGACCTCCCTCTCCTCCTTCATCACCCACATAAACACCACCCCACACCTCTCCTCCAAAGCCACCCTTTATTCCTCCCAACTAACCCCTAATTCCTAATATTCCTTAACCCCAAAATTCCCTTTCAGCCCACTCATTTTCTTCCTTACAATAAATATTCCAAAATCTCTTCCAGCCAAGGGGTTTTGGGGTTTTGGGGTTTTGGGG